AAACAATTAGATGTACAGAAGCAGGAGGTCAAACGAAAGGAAAGTGAAACTCTAATGACTAGAAGTAAAACCAAAAGAAAACTGGAAGATAATGAAAACACTAATGTGCGGAGAACAATAAAGGATACTAGTTATGCTGATTACACTACTGGGAAAAATATTCAGCAGAACGCAGGGAATGAAGATGAATTGAGTCTTCTGTCGATGTCTTCTGGCATCACTACATAAAGAGCCCTCGACATATGAAGAAGCTATGATGAGCGGCGAAAGAGAAAACTGGAGAAACGCTGTGATAGAAGAACTTGAGTCTCTCTATGGAGACCAATCAAGTATGGACGTTTGTTGACAGACCGACTAAGATGTTAAATGCTAAATCGGCTAACATAATAGATTCAAGATGGGTATTTAAAAGAAAATTAGAAGCAGATGGATCAACCAGATATAAAGCGAGACTGGTGACAAGAGGATGTAAAGACAAAAATGTGTATGATCTGAAAGAGACATATGCACCGGTTTCGAGATTGTCGTTGGTTAGATCTGTACTGGTAATAATAAACAAGCATAATTTATACACCTGTCAATTAGATGTGAAGGCTGCATTCCTGAATGGAACTCTAGAAGAAGAAATACATATGGAAATTCCAGACGGAGTAGACGTGAATAAAAACACCAAGAAGACCAAGGTGTGTAAACTAAATAGAGCTTTATATGGATTGAAGATAAGTCCAAAAAGATGGAATAAGAGGTTTTCAGAAGAGGCCAAGAAACTCGGATTGGAGAATGATCTGCATGAACCATGTCTGTTCACGTGGAGAAAAGAAGGCAAAATAGTGATCGTACTGCTTTATGTGGACGATATGTTGGTTGCGAGTAATGTCCAGGAGAAATTGGAGGAAATCAAAAAGAAGCTGAGTGAAATATTTGAGACGAAGGATCTTGGAGAACCCAAGAACTTTCTGGGAATAACAATAGAGCGAAACAAAGAAGAAAGATATATATACATTCATCAGATGCGATACACTGAGAGCATATAAGAAAAGTTCTATATGAATGAATGCAAGCCTTAGAGTACTCCAATGGTCACCAGAAAAGTGAGTAACAAAAACAAAAAAAGTAAATTAGAAGAAAAGAGTATTCAAAGAGAAATTAGAAGAGTACCTTATAGAGAAGCCATAGGAAGCCTAATGTATTTGGCAAATGCTACACGAACTGACATAGCTTTTGCAGTGAATTACTTGGCAAGAAGACAGTTGGAACCCACGGAAGAAGATTGGCAAGATGTAAAGAGAGTCTTCCGATATCTTAAAGCGACTGTGAATCAAGGATTGACATTTAGAGGTAAAACAGATGAGTTAGAGTCACTGACAGACGCCAGTTTTAGAGATTGCTTTGATTCTACATCCACTGGAGGATATATAATCAAATTATTTGGAGATGTGATAGCATGGAGAAGCCATAAACAGACATATGTTACACTCTCTACCTGTCAAGCAGAGTATTTAGCAATGAGTGAAGCCTGTCAAGAAGTAATTTCGTTAGACAAGTCGCTCAGATATGTTGGAAGAACATTCTTGCCTGCAACAATCTGGTGTGACAACAGAGCAGCAAGAAACTGCTCAAAGAAGGATGGAAGTCACAAACTTAAAATGTTTGATGTCAACTTAGAGGAAATAAAGAAAAATTTGGAAGAGAGAGAAGAAACGGGAAACAGAAAACATATGGCTGACACTCATGGAGATTTTATTAAACAGTGTGTTGATCAAGGAAAGGTGATAGTCAAATGGATTGAGACCAAAGAGAATTTGGCAGATATTATGACAAAACCTTTACCTTTAGAAGCATTTACATATCTAAGAAATAAAATAATGAACATAGAGTTAAATAAAGTTAGAGATTAACTTTACTTGAAAAACTAATTATTGTTGTGTTTCAGATAAAGAGGAATCTTAGAGAGGAGTCACAAGCCGCTCGCGCAAAGGGAGGGAGTGTTGCGGAAAAGGCTTTGGGCGAGCGATGTGCTCCCGCCCTCAGAGGGCAGTTCGCGTCAAGCAGAGCTGCTACCGGCGCGCCGCGTGTGTGTGCGTGGCACTGCATGGTGTTAGCCATTCTTTGTCTCGACCGTTGTCGTGTTAAGACGTGTCGCAGGTTGTGAAAGTGATATAGACTAATGTATAACATTAGAGTGCAGAAAGACATAGTCTCGTTATTCCCTGCCCATCCCGACACACTAGCGAGTGTTCCAAGCGAAATAAGCCAATAAATAGCAACTGTTTAGAAATTTAGAAACTCTGTATCTATTCAGGCGAATTAAGGCCTGTGTCCATGACACTAGTACTTGGTCCAAGTTCTAATTCCGCGAAATATGTAGCCAATCAATATAGCTGTTCCACAAAAGCTGCTAGTTGATTGGCTACGCATTTCTCAAAACTAGAACTTGAACCAAGTACTAGCGTCATGGACACAGGCCTTAATTCGCCTGAATAGATACAGAGTTTCTAAATTTTTAACAGTTGCTATTCTTTTCATCGGTGTTTTATTATTAACTCCACTATGTTTTTCAATAAAATCTTTACTTTGATTTTTTAAGAAATATAACATTTTTTAATCAAAAACTAATACTAAAGCAACTAGATTGTATAAATATCCGTTGTTATATTTGGCGCAATTTGTTGATATCATTACATTTGTAGAGAAGATAGTTTTGTAGAAAAGATATTTTTGTAGAGAATATATGTTACTTTTGCAAAAAGATAGAGTAACAAAATATATTCGGTTGAATTGGAGCTTATACTTGGCGCTATTTTTTACCTTTTTTTTAAAAAAAGTTTTTTACGTGATATCAAACCTTTTGTAGTGTGTAATATCTCATACTGTACTCTTTACTTGGCACAAAACTCGACATTTTTAGAATAATATTATCACAGCCCCGGTGGTCGAGCTGGCTAAGACGCCCGTCACGGATTGAGAGGTCCCAGGTTCGAATCCTGGCTGGGATAATAGTTTTCACAATAAGAATTTTAATTCAATAGGGGAAAGGGTAAATTTGTAATGCTAAGTATAGCACTAAAATTAAATTAAAATAATTTGAATAAATCGCTCTGCGATTTTTAGAACACGTGAATTCACTGACGATAATGATCCCACCTAGGCGAAATCTGTGTTATATGTCCGATAGTAACGGCGCGCAGTACAGGGTGGGATAATACGGTATATGATTCACCTAGCAATATAATGGCCACCACCTTGCTTGCCAGGTCCTAAATATATGGCGTTTAAGTTTCAATTTCATAGTTGGCAACCCTAGGTGAGTCTGGATTACACGTAAGCAGTTCTGCTGTGTCAAACCGCTTTTCTTTTCTGCCTTTATTCGCCCTCCTTGGGGCGCTTTTCTTTGCAGGTCTTGGCCTAGCTAAATTGTGGCCCTACTCGAGTAAAGAGAGGGTCTGTTTGTAATCTATCTGCCTTGTATCAAGGTTTGGACGTGATATAACCTCAATAGAAAATCATCGTGACAACTCTTTGCATGCGGGCCGAGAGGCCTGCGCAGGCGTGCAGGGGACTGAGGTAGGGATCAGCGAGCATGTCTACCAACAGTGGGCCTGAGGCGCAGGATTCAAACCAAATCAGCCACGAGGAATGTAATTATACAACCCATACAGCTTCGAACAGTGAAATAGCTATGCAGTCGCAAATGCAGTTACCACCTCAGCAATTGGGACAAGGACAAACCTGGCAAAAAGCAGTAAACAAGAAAAGAAGGAGGAGTAGCCCTGAAAACACCAATTCTAGAAAACGCCAAACATCTATAAATGATTATTGGTTAAATAGCCCAGTCAAAACGAACAAGTTCGAGGAATTTAGCAATGAAGAATCTACAGTTTCTGGAAAACAAATGGATAATAACATGGGGCAAAATACGATAAAAGCTCCTCCTATCTTCATAGAAGGTGTTGAAAATATTATCCCGTTAAAACTTCTACTCGATGAGATAGCAAAAAATCAATATACAATAAAAATACTAAGGAATAACCAAGTCAAAATACAACCACTTGCTACAGAAAAATATATACCCATAATGGAGGCTTTGAAAAAAAAGGTACACAAGGCTTCACGTACCAATGTAAAACTGATAAAAAATTTAAAGTTTTACTAAGAAATATGCACCCAACAATAAACCTAGTAGAACTTAAAGAACAAATTGAAGCTAAAAATCATAAAGTAATAAGTATAACAAATATTTTGCATGCTAAAACAAAGAGGCCTCTTCCCTTGTTCTTTATAGAATTAGAACAGAAGGAAAATAATAAGGATATCTACAATATAAACCAATTACTGAACACAATAATCAGCTTTGAGCAAGCCTATAAAAAAAGGGAAATCCCGCAATGCACAAGATGTCAGGCGTATGGACATACTAAAAACTACTGTTTCAAAGGACCACGATGCGTAAAGTGCGCAGGAAACCACATGACAAATGATTGTTCAAAAAAAGGAAAACTCGCAGAAGTAAAATGTTATAACTGTGAAGGAAACCACCCAGCTAGTTACAAAGGATGTGAAGTATACAAGCAATTACAACAAAAGCTGTATCCCAAGTTAAGAGCAAAGAAACAAATAGAACAACCCGAAAATTTAAATTCAAACTCAAATTTAAACTTAAATTTAGATCCAATACAACCAATACAAATAAAACTACAGCTACAAATACAAATAATACAACATCCAAATAAAACTACAGCTAGACAAGTTCAACCAATTACATCGAACAACACATACGCTCAAATAACAAAAAAATATTCAATCCATCAAACACCAAGAGAGTAACAATGATAACAATAATAACATACAACAATTAACAGCAGTAGCTACAAATCAGCAAGGAACAAACAAAGTTGAAGAACTGATTTTGCAACTTATCTCGAAAATAGATAGTATGCTAAATCTAATTGCAGCCATGATTACAAAAATGAATTAATGGCGAATACAATAAAAATAGGAGTATGGAATGCCAACGGATTAATACAAAGGAGCTTAAAACATTCCTAATAGATCACAATATAGACATAATGCTTATCTCAGAAACTCATTGCACAAAAAAGTGTTACTTAAAAATTCCAAGATACAGTATTTATGACACACAACATCCGGATGGCACCGCTCATGGAGGAACAGCAATAATCGTGAAATCAACAATAAAACACTACGTAAATGAGAGATATCAAAAAGATTACCTCCAGGCAACTAGTATTACAGTGGAAGATCAGATCGGGCCAATAACGTTAGCATCGGTATATAGTCCCCCGAAGCATATAATAAAACAAGAACAATACACACATTTCTTCAAAACTCTAGGAAACAGATTTATTGCTGGAGGTGATTACAATGCTAAGCATCCTTGGTGGGGTTCAAGATCTCATATACCCACTCCGAAGGGACGACAACTGTATCAAGCCATACTGGGAAATAACCTAAATGCTCTATCAACAGGCGAACCAACGTACTGGCTTACAGATCGGAGGAAGGTACCAGATGTAATAGATTTTTGCATAACAAAAGGAATATCAGAACACTACTTAAAAATAGAATCGTGCTTGGACTTGTCCTTCGATCATTCTCCATTGGTAGTCACTGTAAGTTCACAGTTAATAAATAAAAAATTACCATTCTCCTTTCACAATAAAAAAACCAACTGGAAATTATATAAAAAAACTGTAAATGACCAAATTTCATGCAATATACCTCTCAAAACAGCTGAAGACTTAGAACTAGCAGTAAATAAATTTAATACAATAATACAAGGAGCAGCATGGACGGCCACTCCTGAGATTAAATCAAGGGAGACACAAGTTGAATGCACAATAAATGTGAAAGATAAAATAATAGAAAAAAGGAAGCTTAGAAAAGTATGGCAAACAACGCGTTCCCCTCACGACAAAGCAAAGTTGAATAAAGCAGGAAAACAAATAAAACAATTACTAAACGAGGAAAAAAACAAAGCGATAGAAGACTATTTAAAAAATCTCTCAGCATCCGAAGCAACAGACTATTCCTTGTGGAAGGCCACCAAAAAAATAAAGAATCCACAACAATCGATACCGCCTCTACGACTATTAAATGGTAAATGGGCTAGAAGCAGTAAGGACAAAGCGAAATTATTTGCTGAACATCTTGTAAAAGTATTTAAGCCATTCCCTCCAAAATCCGCAGAAGACATAGAAGAAGAAGAAAAAATTCAACGTTATCTGGAAGCGCCTTTACAAATGGAAATGCCCATCAAGAATATAAAAATTAAAGAAGTAAGCAACATGATAATAAAGGATCTAAATGTAAAACAAGCACCTAGTTATGACCTGATAACAGGCAAAATGTTAAAAGAACTGCCACAAAAAGCTTTGAGACTACTAACAATCATTTATAATGCAATATTAAGATTAAGTTATTGTTCGTAATGATACAGGTACTCGTTCCAAGATATATGCGATGGTTTATTCAGATGCGGATACAGATTTTACAAAGTCTGGTATCGATGCTTGCTACTGCTCAACTAACTGCTTTATCCTTTGTTCGCACGCCATCTAACCACGTACATACTGCCGCTCGAGCACAGCGCTCGATTCGTGCGCGCACTTATGAACTACTTTAATGTCCTATGCCCAACATACTGCCCACCAAATTAGCGCAGCTAATTTGTGAATCGGAACCTGACGCTAGAGGCAACTTACAAAGTTTTACGATGGAGCGTTTGACGTTATTACCGGATGTGCGAACTGTAGCGACTCGGACTAGACCGTCGCTGCCTGGATGCAACTCTATGACTCGACCCAATTTCTACTTGAGAGGCGGAAGGTTCTCTTCTCTTATAATCACCAGATCATTGACCTTTAAATTCTCCTTTGCAATTCGCCACTTGCTGCGGCCCTGAAGATTGTTAAGGTACTCTGCCGCCCACCGTTTCCAAAAATCTTGAAATACTCGCTTGTTCGCGAGAATTTGAGAGGCACCGGAAGCCGCTCAGCGCTGAGCGTAGAGAGTGCGCGGAGCGTTCAAGAAAACGCTCCGCCGTCGCGCGCGGTGTCGGACGAGCACAAAATAAGAAGAGAAAGAGCAGGTCACATAGAACTCGATATTTATTAAACAAGGTCACGGGCGGCACACAATTAAAGATGAGGTCTAACCGATGCGGCAAGGGACCGTTCCAACGATGGAAGGCCCGCGAAACGGAGATCTTCTTGGTCCGTATGATGCTGCAAATTAGCGGCGCGGCGGAGATCTTGCCGAGCGTCGATTTGGACGCCCAAACGGATCGGACGATCTTGAGCGCGGATGACGGTATAACGCGGAGCAGCCGGACTTACGCGATCACCGGAGCCCGCATCGACAGACCAGCCACTCGGTGGACAAACAATGGTTTTCGGAGCAATTATCGCGCCGGGGCCTCAAGGAGGGACCGGCGTGGTACGGCACGAACAGATTTCGGTATTACAACGGGCACTCGCGGTAGCGAAGCAGACGTCCCTTTACCGGTTACGAGAGCCGGGCGAACGGGCACTCGCGGTTTTGGAGCAAACGTACTCTCGGATCGCGCGATGATGTTCGCACTTCGGTTCCGCGTACGAGACTCTCTCTTGTGTCGAGCGATTTTCACGATCGTTAGAAACGGGAAGAGTTCTGATTGGTGGAACAGACATCGCGCGACCGGGTCGCCGAATCGGGTAAAGGCGCGAAAATGTACCGGAGCGCGATCAGCTGTGGATCACGTGTGCCCGCTCGCCCTCGGGAGCTCTCGAAGGAAAACATCGCGGCGCGACTCGTCGCGAACGCGCTCCGACGGAGAGCGACACTAGGCCCAACATTGGGCCAAATTTTTAATACACGCTGCTGATTTTAAACATCGCTGAATCATCTGCCACCTGTCTAAACGGTTCAGCGGAATTGTCGTTACATTAACGTCAGGCAAACTCGTCAATGCTTCTCCTATTAAAAAGTGCGCTGGCGTGATGGGTTGTAAATCCATTGGATCCGCAGACATTGAAGATAGCGGCCTCGAGTTCAAGCACGCCTCTATTTGACTGAGCGCTGTAGCCAGTTCCTCAAAGGTGAATAGAACGTTGCCCATAATTCGCTTGAGGTGGTACTTGCAAGATTTTACCCCTGCTTCCCATAGTCCTCCCATGTGTGGAGAGTCGGGGGGAATGAATTTCCACTCGATGTTTTCGTTTGCAAACATGTCACCGATGCCAGTCTCTACTTCTGCACGAACGAACTGATAAACTTCTCTCAATTCGCGATTTGCTCCGATGAAGTTTGTACCATTGTCGCTGTACAGGGTGCGTGGCTTTCCTCGTCGACCGATGAATCGTCTCAGGGATGCGACGAATGCAGCGGTTGTCAACTCGCTTGTGGCTTCCAAATGAATGGCTTTGGTTGAAAAACATACAAATAAACCAATGTAGGACTTGTTCGTCTTGCGTCCACGTCCCTTGTTAACTAGAGTCGTTATAGGACCGGCAAAATCGACGCCAGTGATTGTGTAGGCTCGACTCGGATGAATTCTATCGCTTGGTAACGACCCCATAATTTGCGATGAAGCTGGTGGCTTGTTTCTTGCGCAACAAACGCATGTACGGCACACTTGTCGTGCTAAGTCTCGACCTCTGAGAGGCCAATAGCGCTCCTTGATTGATGACAACAATAACAGTTGGCTTGCGTGTAACAATCGTCGGGTGGGTGGGTGGGTGGATGGGTGGGTGGGTGAGTGGGTGTGTGTGTGTGTGTGTGTGGGTGTGCGTGTGCGTGTGCGTGTGCGTGTGCGTGCGCGTGCGCGTGCGCGTGCGCGTGCGCGTGCGCGTGCGCGTGCGCGTGTGTGTGTGTGTGTGTGTGGTGTGCCTACAAATTTACAATTCTACACAGTTCTGTATAACTTTATAGATTTAGACATTATTTTAGATGAAACA